TGTCTGATTTCTACTAGCTTCCATTGGACTGAATCATGACTAGGCTCGTAACGGAAGACATTTCAGACTAAGTGAAATAAACGAATCGCACAACGCACATGTTTTGAACCTCTAAAGGTTTTCTGTTCTCTCGCGTCCTCCAGCTTCTCGTTACCACGTTCCATGTCCCATTTTGACCGCTCGCTTGCATGCTGTACCGACAATCGCGTGCCGTTCCGTTATGGGTTCAACTCTGTTGACTGATATCCGATTATCCGCACTTTATGCACCTTGTCAACCGTTATTCACTCTCAATTGTGGGCTGCCGCGCATTTACCGTTTGGTCTACGCATACAACAAATCTCAAAGTTTTATTATGGGAATAACCTACAAGCTAATGCTTTTCTCGTCTCATAGGTTTGTGTGATGATTAAAAGACAGCGTTGCAAACAATTTCACGAGTAAAAAATGTCACATTATACGGGATTCTTCCATTGCTCCATGCAGCTTCATTTATATTGAAATTTAATGTGTGCTAAGGCTTTATCAAGTCTCATTTTGAAAGATTCAATGCTTTGGCGCCCATAGAACACGTGGCGTGAGAGAGAGCTCCAGATCGAACACACTGATTGCGAATGACTGACACCAGCATTCCAAGCGGCATTTTGAGACCACTAGTTTGAGTGGATGTCATCTAAGATGAACGTTGGTGACTCGGATGGCTTGGGTTTTGCATTATCTGATATACCATAATCATGTCTCCTCTGATTGGAATGTAACCGCAACAACTCCAGTGTTTTTGCTTATAAGTAGCGATTCAACCCCTCAACCATTTTGGTGACCCTTGTATGATTAAATACTATGTACAAAGTAAGTTCATTGGTTATCCGGGTTTCTATCAATCACGTTCCAGTATTCCTGGCATCGTTCTACTTCTGCTTGGGTCACACGGTCTCCAATTGGCTGGCACGGTCTGCCAATGGTTTGCGGTCAGAAGCACTGACACGTACGCGTTTTGCTGACGTCACCCGCGAACTTTGGTTGATTGCAATTGTCCAAAGGCTGTAACTCGTCACTCCAGGGTAGGCGTCATCTCGTAGGTCCGGATCACCATAGCAACATTTCGAAGGAGTAGCTTCCTAGCATTTTGAAGCCTATAAAAGGTTTTTGACAAATATTGTTCTATATGAAAATCTTGCACATTTGTTTTATAAAACGAGCCTCGTTGACGATCAAGTGATCCCGCTTCAATCAACTCTGTGGACTACTTTCGGCGTACAACCTCTAAAGGCCTCAGTATGGTCGGGGGTGGGTGTCTGGGTTTGTGACTGATCATCATTCCCTTAAACCTCGCGAAATTCTCGTTTCTGACCAAGCGTCTCAAACAGCCTCTCCTGTGGGAGTCCTACTCACTGCCTTCCTGTGGCGGAGGTGTTTTCCCACCATATTGAGAGGATGAAAGGCCAATATCCGCGGCTATAACCGGATTGGTGAACCATTGGCAGTTCACCTAAGGGAGTTGGCGGAAAAACCCTGATTCCAAACCAACCAAGATAAAGCGTATGAACCACACACACTCCTTCCTGGTGGCGGTAGTTTTCACCGGCTGTATTAGGCATCAAGGTATACTGGGCATGTTGAACGTGTGACCCCATCCAAAGGACGTATTATTCAATGAACTGGACACCGGCCCCCAATCGGATGCGGACTCTGTGCTCCGTCTTGTTGTCTTGCAGTTCTGGCTTTCTAGCCAAAGGCTTCAGATAAACACCCCTAGGTTATCCCCTTTCCCCGGCCAGGGCAACCGGGAAGTAGCATGCCCACACAAACTATACACACGTTCTTCAGATTTCTTTGTGTTCACATGTTCTGGCAAATTTGCCAGTTCTCTTTATTTGTTACGTGTTGAAACTTAAAAAAGAAAACAGATGATCAGTTCAACCTCTAAGTCATTCGGTTTTGGCAACCGAACTTGGGCTTCCAACCCGATTGAGCTGACCCTACAGTCGTAGTACAGCTTTGTCTTCAATGTGCTGATCTCTCTCTCTCTTTAGTCATATCACTGCTGATAGATGTCCACTTTTGGGTCCAAAAAGTGGTGATGTAGCATTGAAAGAGCTCTCAATCTCAATATCCAACATGAACTTCCGGCCTCGTTTTACTCTGTATCTTTCGCAATCATTGAGAACGGTATGACAGCAAAACTAGAGAGTGAAATTGTTTTGCTGCTATTCCTGAGTACATCATTGTAGTAGTTGTAGTAATAGTAGTAATAAAACGCAATGAACGTGGAATACGAATCGCCGATTAACAATCACGGACGTCACGTAAGCACTGGACCACACTGGTACTTGCACTTAGCATCCCATGTAACCGAGACGCGAGAAAATGGCCACGGGAGTAGTCGTTCCTTTATTGAAAGAAAAAAAGCGAATTAAAAAATATGTACAAAACAAACTCATTGGTCATCTAGGCCTCTGCCAATCGCGTTCTAGTATTTCTGCCATTATTTAGCTTCTGTCTAAGCCGTACGGTTTCTGCTTGGCTGGTACAATCAACCTATGGTAAGTAAGCTGTGACGCGCCGGCGCTTTACGGACGTCACCCGTGAAGCTTGATTGATCGCAGTTGTCCAAAAACTGTAACGTGTTGCTCCAGGGTATGCGTCATCTTGTAGGTGGGCATTACTACAAGTATACAGTTGTGAGGACTTTTTCGCAACCAAAAGAGTGCATTTTCTTTGTGGTGATGGAGGTGGGAGTTCTTTGAATTTAAACTGTCAGATGCCGTCAAATGAATCTATGCCCCAATCGGCCAATTAACAACCTAGTCGACTTAGACGCGGGTTTACTGTCTTGAGCAAATTGTGCAATGTGTAAACTAATTACAGAATGGAAGAACCATTTCGCCTTACCGGACAGTGTCGGAGCGGGACAAGTTATCGCGGTGTGTCCGTACGCGAGTCGAGGAGGAATAGGCAGTTGAGGACAGGTGGATTCGAATCCGGATAATTCGATGTGTGTAACGGGGATAAACGATAGCTATCAGACAAGACATAGTTTGCAAACTTTTCACACACAACAACACATCTGCGGCACTTCACAAGCACCAATGATATCACCCCGGCTAGTGATGAAACATTTGCAAACAAATTGCCAAGCTTGGCAAACTAGTGAAATGAAATTCAGTTTACCTGGGGCTACGAGAACCGATTTTCAATAATTTGCTAACATTGTTAATCAGAAGGGAAATTTGGTAAAACACAGTTAATCATTTTAAGGGCCACACCTCAGCACCTTTATCTCAAACTGCAGTAGGGCAGAGCAAATCACAGAAGAGCAGAGAGTTCTGCTTGCTGAATGAGAAACCTCGTCAATGAATGATCGATCTATAAGGGGACATAAGCTTTTCATTTACAAGGAAAGTTTTTCTAGCTCGTGAGCTGTATTTTCGATGCGTAGAAGCCAACAACAACAACGATTCTCTTCAAGTGTACTAACCGAGTCACACACACACACTTAAGCCGTTTCTCGAGGCCAAGTTTATGCCCGGGATAAGTTGGATCAGTTTCCGGATCGATGTGATTAAAAATCATGGATGAAAATCGCAATCTGATTAGCGTACCTGAAATAAGGGCTATCACATAAGTCACTGAAAATGGGGGCAGTATAAAAGAAAAGTGCCTTATGGTATGGCCCATATGTTAATTTCCAGTGAGAAGACGTGTATCGACAGACAAATACTTTCAAACTTCAAGACAAAAGCTAAACTCCACAGCAAGGTAACTGATTGTTTCAGTAATTGTTTTCAGTTGCACAAAAATATGATTTTCTAGGATTAATAAAACCTAAGCAATAGTGACACATTCTTCACTCTGATTACAGAAAATTGGTTTGATATAAGAATCCGAATCAGTGATTTATCTGGTTTTCGTTAACCGAAAGGAACATCAGAAGCATACTGATAATGAGTGCGGTTTACTCAACGGGTGGGGGAAATTGTTCTCAGACGATTGACCAGACCGAATGTACGAGACTCAGTTTTAAACTATGAATAAACTACAAACCGGATGCTTATTCAACCGCACTGGATCTGTCTGTACACACCGAGTTCCGGTTGGTAGTAATTAGTACAATTAAATAGTACATAATCACGTTGACTCACCGGTGCTGAACAGAGTTAGATGTGTCCATGCTTCGTCGAGTCTAGACTGGGATGGTTGAAACAGAAATTGCCTTTGAAGTTGAAAAAAGTTTCAGGTATGGTAAAAACTTTAAGGTTGACGGAATGATGCATGCCGTCTTTTGGAGTAAGAATTGAGATTTTTTGAAATGCTATTCACGAGAAACACTTCGTAGTGATTGACTGTAATCTTAGGGGTAAGTCATTTGTTTTTCTCGAAAATTTCATATTGACCTTGTGGGCCATGGTCACCGTGGTATTGTCCAAACTAAAGGCTACTTACGGGGATAGGCTCATTGCAAACCGAGCATAGTAAGATCCATCCGCGTAAGTTGTACACCGCAATAGTCTATGTGATGAAGACAGCCATCACCGCAGCAAAGGATCGTAAGAGAACTTATTTACCCACCATCAAGAAGTACATTGTGGCCAACTGCAAGGTCGATGTTGAGAAGCCCGGACCCAATATTCGTCTTGGAATCGTACACGCGGTCCAGAACGATGTCCTGGTTCGCGTTGGAAACAAGGGCAACGGCGCGTCTGGAAGCTTTAAGTTGAGTGAGAAGGTAGCTGAACACATGCCTAAGGCTGTGAAAAAGCCCAAGGCACCAACGGTTAGGAAGGCTGAAACCCCGAAGCGGCCGAAATTGACCAAGAAACCCGCTCAACCTGAGGCCAAGACCCAGTCAAAGCCTAAAGCTGTGAAGGCCAAGTAGGCGAATCCAAAAATGTTAACGACTCCCAAGAAGCCTGCGGCTATGAAGCCGGTTCCCAAGAGGAAGTGATTCTTGTTACCGGGATATAAGCAGTTAGTGCTACTACAGCGGAAAACGCGATCACGACCATTTTTAGTACCACTTACGTGGCCTGTGGTTAGGTCATCAATTTGTGACCTGGCAGTCCCTAGTTTGAATCGCTCCACCACCACCGCCCGTCTTCCCAGGCAGACTTTCTATGACCGCGTCCCACCCTCTTACCGAGTGTTGACTGTACATTTGTATATTCAATAAATGAAAAAGGAATTAAAACGACATTTAGTTCATTTATGACAATACCCCAGTGACACAGACATTGTGGTTTATCGCTCAGTTACGCTCCACAACTTACATCACTCCAAACCGGTGCTCCGTAACCCCCCTGGGGTGCAAATGATTTGGCTGAAATCGATCTCTTAGGGGTGGATGCATGGATACATGACCAGAAGCACTTCCGATAGCATTGCCAGCAAACACTAGGTGTACGTCAGACGAAGTGATACTCGTCAGGGCTGTTCATACTCAGTTGAATGTAGCGTCTGTGGATAGTAAACAGAGTAGAATGAAAAAGAGAAGGAAATCAAAATGATGGATTAGGCTAAATATTGAAGCACATAGACTGTCGAAGCACGGGAATTCCGTTTATGTTAGAAAGTACTTACAAGCGGAATACTTTTAATTCTCCATCTTATCAGTTAAAAGATGATTAGAAAGTGAATGGTTCAAAATGGCACACTGCATTATCGGACAGCATTACGCAACGGTCTTTGTCAAGCGGTATTCCCCAGACATAATCAGGTCCATTGTTGCTTACGCGCCACCACCGATTGAATCAGAAACTTTGATCGGAGCTACGTGGTTGTGGGGTGATTTAAGTATCTTTCATTGATGTACTTGGCTCCCTTGGAGTCACCGATTCGAATCATGCTACCGCCACCCAATTTTAATGGTAGACATCTTCGCTGTCGTCCGACTGGACACTACACTCAACCTTGTGGGAGGTTATGTTTTTCACCATTCCAAGTCACAGGGCTTAGATTGCATGTCTTTGTAACAAGTTCTCGTGACCAATGCGGTTAACCCTGTCTGTTATTAATCACGCAAGTGTCTGAGAAAAACGATGTTACGGGTTTCCTTTTTCCGAAACGAGCCGGAGGGGGGGGGGCGGTTTGTTATGTCCGGCTGGGGCAGTCACGTGGACCAAAAGAGACGCGCACATGTATGCGTTATCCCAAGATTAACATACCCAGGTCCCAGACACACAACGGACATGAACCTTTTCCCATTTCCTTCTGGATCGATATCCTTGTGTGCGGTTCGTCTGCGCTTATGTGTTCTTTTTGGTCTACAGACGTGTCCACTATTTGTGAAGTGGTTGCATCAACTATGACACTTCAATAAGTTGCTTTACTCATCTTTATAAACATTGTAATTACAAAGTCAATACCGCTTGCATTTATGTAAAATGGTTTACAATCTGAGGCCAATGGAGTTCACAGCTCTACGGGAAAAAATTTCGGGATTAATATCCGTTCTGCGCCATCAGTAATGCTTGCTGCAATTCAGCATAGAAGCATACATCTTCGGAAAACCCTATAGCTTAACTTCAGTAGTACTGGTCTGATGAACGAAAGCTTCAAGTATTATCTGTTTATCAATACGTAATTGGGGTCGCTCAAACGTAGGTTACAGTCGATTACACCAGGAAAATATACACTAGTAGTATATACGACTCTCACATGAAGGTTTCTTGATTGATAAGAGAAAAGAATATAGCTGATAAACGAAGCAGGTTCTGAGAAAATCAAACAAAGACGCGAAACAATAAGGGATTTTTAATTATAATAACGATAATAATAATAATAATAATAATAATAATAATAATAGAACCATTGGTCGATGATAATCAATAACAGGAACAATATTTCCGTTTCCACATCCACGAAGCCCATCATCCTCGTACTCATAGAACGGATTTTGAGACGAATTCTGATCACAACAATGGGTATATGAAAACTGTGGAAATTCCTATTGAAACTTCGCATTTCTCTTTGTAGCTTTGAGAGAGGGAGGATCCAATAAAACATTACGATTTCTATTCCGGAATACCATAGATGCGTCTCTTCTCGTAGTTAGTGTACAACATGGCCCGGCTAAATTGGATAGCTAGAGAAAACGCCCGAAATATGTAATTGTCCGAACATACACGGAAACTGAAAGACATGGACGAAACCGTACTCCATGAGCTTGCCAACACAGCAACCCTCAGTTCAGTAGAAGGAAAGGGCAGTACGGTAACCCCGGGTGGAGGAACACATTTTCGGTCCATAGTTCAGATGAGGTTTACTGAATCGTTTTTCTTGTGAGTAGTGGAGGATTTGATTCAATTTCGAAAGTTAGATTCGCCGTGTATATAGCAAATGAAGCGTGAATTTAAAAGCTAGGGAGCACTGGACAGCTGTTTCCACCTGGTTGGGTCTGATCAGCAGTGCGAATCCATCGACCAAATCGGGAATCGAACCCGAGACCTCACAAACAGGACGCATGCGTACTACTCACTCGGCCACCGGGTGAAACAAGTAGTCAAGTTGTGAATGTTTTCAACCGAGTCATAACCCTGGAGGCTAGTGCTGAGATGAACGAGATCTGTGGACTGCAACAAGCTCGCAAATATGGGATGTGTTAAATCGTGTAAACGGAAAATGAAAAACGGTCTGATCAGCTGCTCTGGCGTGGCCGAGTGAGTAGCATGCTTGCATTCTACCCATGAGGTCTCGAGTTCGATACTCAGTTGGGTAGAGGGATTCGCACACTGCACTGATGAGACCCAACCAAGTCGAAACAGCTGTCTAGTGCTTCCTAGCTTTTAAATTCACGCTTCATTTGCTCTATACACAACGAATTTCGCCTTTGAAATTGAATTGTTTTTGCATGAGACAACTGACGGGTCTTTAATCGAACAACCGAACCAAATAGGTTTTGCGAAAGGAAAATTGTACCACACGAGCAAGATGATCCGGATCGTCTATAACGCTGAAAAAAATGTTCGAATACTCGGGTTGTTCTAGTCAACTGCTTGGGATCAATTGTTGGAGTTCCCCGTTTAGGAACAAACACGATCGCATAATGAATGACTGTAACCTGAAACTTTTGGATCTGTACACAGCGTTTGATGTCAAATTTTCGAACCGCACACTTTCAGTACTTTACAGCACCTATTGCGCATGAAAACGTAATATCTGGCGAGCTAATTCACCCGCACGCGCTCTGTTACATTCCATTTTCAGTCTTCAGGATTGAGGACAGAGGGCAGGGTGCCCGTGTAAGCCCCATCCCCACTGAGTTGAAGGTTCGATCGCAAGTGTTTGTCCCTCCATAGCCCCTTCAGGTGCTCATCCAGATGCCGTTTGAAAGAAGCGTCTGTCTTCTCTTCCACCACAATCGCTGGAAGGAACTTCCAGAGTGTTGTTGACCTACGCGAGAGTCGGTAGACTAACGGAAGACCAACAGACTAAAGTTTCCGCAACGTGCGAGAGTGCCCCCGCGTGCGGTGCTCTGTCCGTAAAGGGAAGTACTGTTGCAGCTCCGGGCCCATATCACCTCTCAGGATCTTCTTCAGTAAAATGAGATCTCCCCTGAGGCGTCGATATGCAATTGGGAACAGACCAGTAGCCTGTATACGACCTTCATAGCTGGTCCCGCGTAGTCCAACAACAAGTCTAGTGGCAGCACGTTGTACACGCTCCAACTTAGCTAGTTCACCGGCTGTGCAGGGGTATGTCACCACACCATCATCACATAGAGAGATCTGCTATATGTGAACTATCCTATTCCTTATATGGTCATAGGTATTCCACAAACAGTGATAAAGTAGTTCATAAATGAAATTCATTCTAATCCTGCGAAACAATTCACATCTGGAGTTTGTTAGGAATAAACCCTCTCTCATCCTTAGCGTGTAAACTGTCCCATTTAGTGTGTAGTCTTTTTAACTAATGACAATGTTGTTACGTTTTCACTCGTCAAATAACAGACAACTCAACAGAACACAAGTGACTTTATGACGATCAAATTGTCTTCGATATGGCTTCACAACAATAACAATTATCTTGCCCGGAGTCCCCACCCAACCCAACCCCCCCTCCCACACACACAGACTGTAAATCAGATGTTCCTATAGTCGGCTGTTCAATGCCATGATGAATGTCACTGTTTCCGATTCGTTTTGTTTCTTCGTGGTCCGCTGACTATCTGGCATTGATTTTATTCGCTGCTTACTACTATCGTGATCTGTTTTCGCCAAAAACTGGCTGACGGGAATGATTTTTTGCGGCAGATGGTTCCGGGGTCTAATCTTATTCGATATGCCGCCCCTGGCCATGGTCACGCCTATTCCCGGGGCAAACCCAAATGAACAAGTCGTGTCCGAATAGAGAGCAAAAAAGTTGATAACAATGCTTGAGCATGAGCACTGCACCATGTATAGAATATTTAGACTTGTTATCAGATCGGTTAACTAGGTCGTTATAGTTGTGTGTGTGTGTGCACCATGAAGCGCCGTGACGAGTCGGTCCTAAATGTTTATCGCCCAGGTCCAACTCTACGTGGGGTGGGGGGGGGTGAGGTTGCGGACGAGATCCCGCAAAGTGACCTGAATCGAATCCATGTGCTCGTTTCGTTTACCGAACAATATCAGGAGTAGAGGTGTATTTCAGGACTCGAAATAGGGTCAAATAGTGATTTAAACCGTATGCACATATACATTGTACATGTATTATTCCAATCGCGCGCAAAGAAAACTACCAAGCACCGTTCCGGTCTTCTCCCAGTCCCAGTGTGACAATGAAACTGTTTACAGCTAGAAATAGTGCACCGTATTTAACAGTGCAGAGCATCGTATTGATAGTACTGGAATACTGAGTAAAAGGTAATCAATTCTACTAACCGTTGACGGATTCACT